CTACTAATCATGACTAACCTCCATGCCAAATATGAAGACTGTAGGTCAAAGGAATCTTAAGTTATTAGGCGGACAAGCTTTTTTAAGTCAAGGCCCCTGTGACCTTGACCTTTGACCTTGTGATCCTCAAAATCAATAGGGGTCATCTACTTATCATGACTAACCTCCATGCCAAATATGAAGACTGTAGGTCAAAGGAATCTTAAGTTATTGGTCGGACAAGCTTTTTGAAGTCAAGGTCGCTGTGACCTTGACCTTTGACCTGGTGATCCTCAAAATCAATAGGGGTCACTTACTAATCATGACTAACCTCCATGCCAAATATGAAGACTGTAGGTCAAAGGAATCTTAAGTTATTGGTCGGACAAGCTTTTTGAAGTCAAGGTCGCTGTGACCTTGACCTTTGACCCGGTGACCTCAAAATCAATAAGGGTCATCTACTAATCATGACTAACCTCCATGCCAAATATGAAGACTGTGGGTCAAAGGAATCTTAAGTTATTGGTCGGACAATAAAAACTGACGGACAGCCGGACAGCCAGACGGACAAGCTGATTCCAGTATACCCCCCTTACAACTTTGTTGTGCGGGGGTATAATAAGAGATTATAGGTACAATAATACAAGAAAAATTAGCAATTAGTTACTTTCATCCTCTTTTCTTTTCATACTACCAGTCCTGCATGCTTAAGAAACTTTTTCGGGGCATTAATATATATGTGGCCAAATCATAAATATGTCGTTGATATATCTCCACCATATCATTGGCTTGAGTTTCTGAGTGTTGAGGAATCAATTTTCTAGGTATGACATGAAAATGACTGCATAACTTGAGCGCATTTAGTGCACATTGTGGTGCCTGATATCTGTTCGTAAAAATAAATATGTATATACATTTTAGAAAAATCAATGACCCATTGGATGGGGCCAATTTTGACCCCAGGGCTATAATTTGAACATTTTTTGTAGAGTTTCATTAGATGATGTTATATAAAAATATCTAAGCTCTAGGCCTTGTACTTTCAGGAGAAGATTTTTAAGTTTTTACTATATGTACATAATGAAAATCAATGACCCCTGGGTGGGGCCAATTTTCACCCAAGGGAAATAATTTGAACAATCTTGGTAGAGTTTCATTAGATGATGTTACACACAAAATATCGAAGCTCCAAGCCTTGCACTTTCAAAGAAGAAGATTTTTTTAAAGTTTTTACAATAAACATGTAAGGAAAATCAATGACCCCTAGGACGGGGCCAATTTTGACCCAAGGACTATAATTTGAACAAACTTGGGGGAATTTCATAAGATGATGCTACACACAATATATCTAAGCTCTAGGTCATGCACTTTCCGAGAAGAGTTTTAAAGATTTCATTTTTAAAATCTATTTTTAGCCCTCCTGACCCAATACCATTTGAACAATTTAAGTAGAGCTTCATGCTGTTAACATCCTGTGAATATTTCATTAAATTTGGCCCAGTGGTTTCTGAGAAATTTACAACAGATGCACTGACGGACAACGGACAAATTGTGATCACAAAAGCTCACCTTGAGCACTTTCTGCTCAGGCGAGCTAAAAAACATTAACAATTTAAAATCTTTATTATGTATAGGTTAGTGTTTAATAATACATATTAACAAAAATAATTGGTCAAGCCTGCAGCAGGCAGGCGACCAGTTATTTTTGTTAATGTGTATTATTAAACATTAACCTATTTAATGATCAACATTATTTTTTTTCAACCAAAAACAAGGCATTTCTCTAAATCACCGATAGCTCCGCCCTTTCGCTCTAAAAGAACACCTTGTCAAGTCTCTAACATGTCACATTTAGATAAGCTAAATAAATGGCCCTTTAAACATATAATTAGGCACATTTTTAACTGAAATGTCACAGAATTTATACCTTTATCTACAGTAAGACTATCATGTTTCTATAAAATATCTGAAAAAAAAACAGCAAGGAAAACTATGCAATTAGGTAAAAACAATGGATTAAATGAAATGTGTAAATACAATGAGTTTTCCAGTAAACATTGTATTCTTAATATCAAGGATTGTTAATGCAGTTCATTACTATTGACTGAAAGAAAATAATGTTTAGGTTACTTTTTCTAGAAAATATAAAGTTTAAAACAGTCAGCAATTTACAATAGACATTTTTCTTTCAGTTAAAAGGATATAACAAGAGCCCGGTTTGAGCCGGGTGATGCTCCCCGAATAGGTTTTGGACACAGGAAAGTACACCTCTTGTAGTTTCAGAGTTATGTCCCTGGAAAAAGTTCAAAGTGCAATAATTCCAAAATTAGGAAAGGCAGAGTTACTGTTCTTTCCACTGCACTTCTAATCACTGTTATCTATCAACTTACAAAGTTTCTTGTTGATATCTCTTATGGTTTCCGAGTTATGTTCCGGACAAATTCAAAAAGTAAAAATAAACAAATGGCAATAACTCCAGAATTAGGCAAGGCAGAGTTATGATTCTCGTGCACTGCACATCTACCCATTGAGATACATCTACCTACAAAGTTTCATGTTGATATCTCTTATAGTTTTACAGCTATGTCCAGTACAAGATTTTTCTAAAAGGGGAGATAATTCAAAAATGAGGCTTAACAGAGTTATGGTTTTTTTGCACTGCACTTCTACTCAATGAGATCTATCTACCTACAATGTTTCATCTTGATATCTCTTATAATTTTAGAGTTATGTTCCGGACAAAGTTCAGTGTTAAAATTAACAAAGGGCAATAACTCCAAAATTAGGACAAAAAAGAGTTATTGTTCTTATGCACTGCACATCTACCCATTGAGATACATCTACCTACAAAGTTTCATGTTGATATCTCTTATAGTTTTACAGCTATGTCCAGTACAAGATTTTTCTAAAAGGGGAGATAATTCAAAAATGAGGCTTAACAGAGTTATGGTTTTTTTGCACTGCACTTCTACTCAATGAGATCTATCTACCTACAATGTTTCATCTTGATATCTCTTATAATTTTAGAGTTATGTTCCGGACAAAGTTCAGTGTTAAAATTAACAAAGGGCAATAACTCCAAAATTAGGACAAAAAGAGTTATTGTTCTTATGCACTGCACATCTACCCATTGAGATCTATTCACCTACAAAGTTTCATGTTGATATCTCTTATAGTTTTAGAGTTATGCCCCGGACAAGATTTTTCTATAAGGGGAGATAATTCAAAAAACCAGGCAAAATAGAGTTATGGTTCTTTGACACTGCACTCCCCCTCAATGCCCTCTACCACTGTATGAAGTTTAAACAAATTATCTCCAAGGGTTTTCAAGTTATGCTCCGGAAAAGAAAACGGACGGACAGACGGACGGACGGACAGACGGACAAGGCGCCGACTATATGCTCCCCCGAAATTTTTCGGGGAGCATAAAAAGTTAATATGTAATCATTTGTCTCTGCACATGTTTCTCCACATGTATTATCTATGTAATAAATTAACATACAAGTTTGTCTATGATAATCAGACAGTGACCTTACATTTTATATGTACACTAAAGTTATATTAACCATTCTCTAAAAAGTAAAACAGGTCTTAAACAATTGAATGTTTAAAGGAAGACACAGGCAAAATGTTCATTTCTTAGTTTTGAAGTTTTCATTCATTATTATGTAAATGCCCTCAAAATGAATATATTAGATATCAAAGGAACAAAACTTTTCTCCATATAAAGAATAAAATGGTGGTTTCCTAATTTGACCCGCGTGGGTCGGGTTAGAGCACGTCCAGGATTTCACAATAGTTGTCAAAATGAACTCTGGAAATGTTAAAGAACATGTCAAATGAATGACTTAGACTTGTTTCAATCATACAATATCCACAATATCTGTTATTGTAACTTCAAGGGTTTGTTCAAGTCACCTGACTTGTTTGAAAACTATTTGGTGATTCTATTGGTGTCTAAATTTTGTTCAACATGTATAAATATATTTACGCTTCAAACCCAAAATATATAGAATTTAAACAGAAATTCATGCTGAAACTTCAAGAAATGTCATTTTAGCGTGATTTGAGTACATAAGATCATTTTGATATTTTTGTCATTATTTTGCCTGAATATCCCTTTAAGCTGATTTGTAATTAAATGGCAAATGTCTCAATAGGAGTGAACTTGGCTAAGTCTTTGGGATTGCATAAGAACAAACATATTGTTACAAGTTCCAGTTTAACAAGTTGTCTCTTATTTTCCCCTCATATTTTAAATGAAATGAGAAACATAAGTATATAGTCTAACTTTTAAACTGTATAAAAAATACGCTCCAACTTGCCCATGGGACCACGTGTATTACATGTATTAAGCAACTTTTGTCTTATGCGACCACTAACCATTTTCTCTATATATCTTTATTGAATTAAGCGACTTTTGCTCAACGCGACCGGCGACCGCTAATTAGACATGTAATTGAGACCAATCTTTTCATCACACGACACTTTTACCTGTCAAGTGTTTGTGTTTTTAGAGAATGCCGCCTCATAATTTCACAAATGTTAACAATCAAAACACAATATGTAAATGTGTGAAACACTCTCATTCCCAAACAGTTTTTAGCGTATGCAATTGAACTTAATTATACGCGTGACATGTATTATCCAATAAAATCGATAGAACAATGCAGCGCTCCGCCTCTACTAAGATAGTGTAGACACTTCGCTGTTGATATTTAGACTGCATTGAATTGACATTGATCAGCAATTAAATTAATCGTTACAATTAGATGTAGATCCGAGCAGTTTCGTTTAGCAACCATTTTTGGTGTTTCCCATGCGCGGTTGCTTAATACAGGTTTGACTGTACCAGTAATAATGTGTAATTGTCTTTCATAGTGTATAGTACAGGTAGTATGAGTACAGTGCACAACACATAAAATTATGCATTTCCTTTATTATATAATTATGTCCCACTGACTTGCTAAGTTATGGCTGAAAAAACATTGCCTTTTGTTAGCAAAACCAATTGTAAATACCAGAAAAACAGCAAATACATGCATATTTTGAATTACAAAATGAAATAAATGTAATGCAGTAATATAAATTTGTCAAAAAAAAGAGAAATAAGACAATTATCAACTGATATTAAATAATATATAATACATAAAATGTAAAACAAACAAGCAATTATCATAGTATTGCAAGCAATATAAAAGTCCCCTATAAGTTAGAACCCCAGCAACATTCTCAAGGGCCATTGGCCATTCAATAATGTCATTGTGGGAGATATGAATGAACTTAAATCTATTGAGTTCTTAGTTTGTCTGTATCATAATAATGTGTTAAGCTTTCATGCCTAGTAAGGAAAGTATGTTTATACAACAAATAATCAAAAGATACAATTTTCTCAGGATGAATATGTATAAGTAATGTTTCAACTTTTCTCAAGTATTTATTGGAAAAATTCCAAGTTCTTTAACAGTGATCTAAGGAAACAGTTTTTAGGGAAGACAGACTGATAAACAGGTAAAATAAGAAACATATATTTGAAGTCTGAAGTAGATACATTAAGAAACTAGAAATGTGTCCATAGGACACAGGTGCCCCCACACTCCACTGTTTTGTCAATCTTATGACTCTAGGTCAAATATTTTTTGGGCTACATGTGCCACAAAATGAAAACTAAAAATCTTGTACTAAGTAAAGGGCAAGACCTTTACAAATACTGAATAAATCCACAAGCGAACCCTAAGGTGCATAAGAACACATGCTGACCAACATTCTTGTAAACTTTCAGGCTTACAGGTCAAATACTTTTTGAGCTATGCATGAACAAGTTGAAATTATAAATTTCTACTTCTGTAAGTCAAGGGCAATAACTCTAACAAAACTAAAAAAACTCACATGCAAAGTCCCAGGTGCATAGCTTCACAGTGATGTTGATCATTATTCCTGTACAGTTGGTTGATTCTAACTTAAGCACACAAGGAACAAATAACACAACATAATGAAACAGTTTTTACAAAGTCAAGGGCAATAACTCTACAAATTCTGGATAAATCCACAGTGCACAACTACACATGATGACCAACATTCCTGTTAAGTTTCATGACTCAAGGTTAAATACATTTTGAGCTACACACGACACAAACTCAGAGAATTGCAAATTTTCACTAAGTCAAGGGCAGTAACTCTGACAAAACATATAAATTCACAAGTGAAACCCCAGGTGCACAACTTCACATGCTGATCAACATTCCCGTAAAGTTTCATGACCCTATGTCAAATACTTTATGAGTTACATGCAACACAAGTTGAAAATTGTAAATTTTTACTAAGTCAAGAGCAATAACTCTAAAAATACTAAATAAATCCACATGAAAATACCCAGGTGCACAACTACACATACTGGTCAACATTCCTGTAAAGGTTCATGACTCTAGGTCAAATACTTTTTGAGCTACGTGTGACACAAAAGAGAACGGACGGATGTACTGAAGGACGTCCCCCCTAAAGTCGGGGCACAATAAAGAAGTTATAATCTCCTGCCTGCCATTTATCCATATATCAAGTTTAAGAAAAACATTTTTCAGTACTTTTTGTGTTATCACAGGATCTAGTTTTGTGGACGGACTGACAGACAGAAGATAAACCTAAAGTCCCCTCCAGTTAAAACGGTAGGGGATTAATAAAACACTTTTATAAACCTTTCAAGAGAAAAATACAAGGTTAACATATTAAATATCAATTTTGCTAAAAAAAAAAACAGCCCAGAACATTCCTTTTTAAACAGAAAACATCCTTACCAACTGCATAAAGCCAACAGTTTGAATAATTTTCAATATTTGTAAAGTATATCACTAGCTTGTTTAACTTGTACTATATGATAACAGTTTTTCACAGTGACTGCATCACTCTATAATTATCCTAATTTTACCCATTAATACTAGGTTAAAAGATAACTAAAATAAGTTCTGTTCAAAATAAGTTTTTCTCATTGTATCATCATTAGTCTGCCATCTTTTAATTTGGTTCTTGAAAAAATAAAAAAATATATCATTATAAACAAATGAAAAGGGAAATGGTTTTAATGAAGCAAAGTGATCAACAAGTTTTACAAATCATAACATCATAGATGTCTATATCATATAACATTATTTTTATAATAAACATCAACACACTGTATTCATGATTTTCATGATTATTACAAACAACTGCATGTATTAAATCATTACCTCTGTCTCCTGAAAGCTCACCTCTTACATCACAGTTATCACTTCTTATATCATTTGTACTTGATGCTAATGCTTTTCTGTTATCATCAATAATTTTATCATGTCCACTTAAATTTGTTTCCTGCTCAAAAGTGAAAACTTCATTACTAGATGGACTAAATTCTCCAGCGTTATTTGTAATACATTGTGGTGTTAAAGTTTCACTTTCACTAGTGCTATACAATAAAGGTCTCTCACTTGAAGAATGTCTTTGTTCAATTTGCTGTTCCATTCCTTTTCTTTGTTTTTGATGATCAAATTTCGGAATTTTGTTTTGAAGGGCACACCTAAAATTTCTCAGTTTTCTTCCTTTCTGATCAAGGTTGGGCACTTTAATGCTTGGAAGAATTTTCCAAAACTGCAGATCATCCCCCATTTCTTCTGAAACATCAGTACCTATTTCAATGTTTCTGTCTTGTTCATTGATATATTGTTCATGCAGAACCCTGATATTTTCTGCATGTTTTTTATGCCACTGTCGTATCTGTTTTGGTTTGTAGGCTTCAACTTCAAGAATCAAAATTCTTTTTCCCTTTCTTGAACGGATCATTGACTGCAGGAAGAAATTTGCTAAGTCATCTTCCCTTAAATCTTTGGAATACAAGAAGACTACTAATGCACTATGTTCAGTTTTTTCAAAGACTTTGTGCATAATATCTGGAAAAAAAAGATAATGATTTTGTTAAACTTTATGAGAGATTTCCATACACAAAAGGCATTAAAATGACATGTTTCAAACCTAAGAGAATTTTGAAACCTTTGGAAACAAGATCCCTGCATGCCTGTTAAGGCTTGTCTATTAAGGGCACCAACTATCAATAACCAATTTTTAAAAATATTGTAAGTTAAGAACAGGCATAAATCCTACCAAGAGGGTCATGCTGGCATTGGTTTGATCACCTGTGATTCGTGCAAGAAAAGGGTAAAGGCAGGGTCATGATTTATATACTGTAACCTTTTAAAACAACAAGGTGATCCTTAATGCAAAAAGTTTAAGCTCTTGGCATTGTAATTTCAGAGAAGTAGATTTTGGAGACATTTTTTAATTTACTATACTAGTCTTTGTAAAATAAATGGCACCCTGAGTGCCCTGATTTTTTTTACCCCAGTAGCAAAACTTATGGAACTTTTGTACATGTCCACTTAGCAAAGTTACATGCCAAATATCTATGCACTTGGCATTGCAGTTTCACAAAAGACTTAAATGTCTTTTCCTATACAAGTCTATAGTAATACAAACTAAGTGACCCCTTTGGCCAGGTCGATTTTGACCAAAGGGGTATGATTCATATAACTTTCATAGAAACCACAAGATGATGCTACATGCAAACAAGAGGGCTAAGATGGCCCTAGATCGCTCACCTGACTCATCAAACTCATCTGAGCAATGTCTTAGACAAGCATCCTGACCAAGTTTGATGACAATTGATTCAAAAATGTGACCACAATATTTGGGCAGTGTCACCTAGTTTAAGACCTCAGGTGACCCATATTCGAACTTGACCTACGAATCATCGAAACAATCTTGCAGACAAATTACCAGGATATTTGGATAAAAACAGTAGCCACTAGAGACTGTTAACAAGATTTTTCTATTTTTAGCTCCCGTGACCTATTTTTCATCCGAGATGACCCACGTTCAAACTTATCCGAGCAAATACCTAGACAAGCATCCTGACAAATTTTGATGAAGATTGAGGCTAAAATGTGACCACTAGAGTCTTAACGAACAAATGTGGACGGACGACGTCCAACGGACATTCAACAATCCTAAAAGCTCACCCTGAGCTAGCCAAGGTGAGCTAAATATTCAAACTCTTGGCATTGTTGTTTCAGAGAATATGATTTTAAAGACATTTTTACCAATACAAGTCTATGTTAACTATTCCGCTCCAGGGTTGTAGTGAATTTTGACGTTAGGGATATGATTTATGTAACTTTTGTAAAGATCACCTTGACAATGCTTCAAGCCAAATATCTTAGCTCTAGGCATTGAACTTTCGTTAAAGAAGAGTTAAAGTATTTTCCTATATAAGCCTATGTAAACTAAGTGACCAATTTTGACCCTAGGGTCATAATTTATATAAATTTTGTAGAAATCTACAAATTGATGCTACATGCTTCATATCTCAGCTCTAGGCTCTGTAGTTTTCTACAATAAGACTATTTTTTGCTATATAAGTCTATATAAATCAAGTGACCCAAGGGACATGATCAAAAAATCAGTTTTGTGCAAATCCATAAGGAAAAGCTACATGCCAAATATCTAAGCTCTGGGCAATGTAGTTTTGCACAATAGAACTCAATAATAAATTAACCTATAGAAGTCTATATAAAATTTGTGATCCTGGGGTTGGGCCCATACTGACTCCAAGGGCATGATTTATATCAATTTTGTAGAGGTCAACAAGCAATGCTACATTACAAATAGTTAAACTCTAGGCATTGTATAAGTTTCACAAATATAACTCAAATGTGTTTTCTCATACAAGAGACCTCAGGGGCGGGGCCAATATTGACCCAAGGGATCGATCATTACAAGTATTGTAGAGGCCAAAAAGGCAATGCTACAGGTCAAATATCTAAGCTCAAGGGATTGTAGTTTCACAAAATAAGACTTACAAAACTATGGTAACTAAGTGTCCAGGGCAGGGCCAATATATACCCAAGGGGCATTATTAATAACAGTTATGTAATGGTCGACAAAATGATGTTACATGGCAAATATCTAAGCTCTTGGCACTGTATCTCACAAAAAGTCTAAGATGTGTTTTTCCGATATCATCAAGTCTTTCCTGGGGCAGGGCCAATTTTGACCTTAGGAAGCCCAAGCCTGTATTCTGCAGATTGTTTCATTATAAGTAATATTTCTGCCAAAAAGTTTTCAGTTTCATTTATTTCATTTGGTTGAAAAGATAGAGTGAACATGAAACTTGAAATTCATACATGACTGTGACCTTCATGATGACCTGAGGAAGGTCAAACCTGCACTCTGCACATTGTCTCATTATGGATAACATTTCTGCCAAGTAGTTTCAATTTCCTTCCACCGGTTCAAAAGATACAGACCAGACACAAAGTTGCTACCAGACGGACTGACAAAACAAAAATTTTCGGGCGTATAAAGACGGACATGTCTCCCCTATAATTTCTGAATTTATTGGATTCAAACAATAAAATATTTTTGCTGGCTGTACCAGACTGTACATAAAATGATGAGAATCATATGGTTATAACGCTGACACAAAATGACTTACTTTCATTTCCCTCAATATCTGCAGCAATAAAAACTTTGTATCCTTTATCAGAGAGGAACTGTTTGATGTTCTGAGCCATAGTCTCATCATCTTCAGCATGGTATATAAACAAGTTGTAACTGTACTCATCATCTATAAAATATCATCATTTCTATAATTATGTATATAATATTGTGAGAAACAAATATCAATATGTGTGACCAAAGGACAAATGTTTAACATGAGCAAATGTTTAGGTGGAACAATCTGTTAACAACAGATCCAATGAGGTGGGGCAATATGTGCCAAATTGTAACTTCCAAAGAGGTTTTACAGACACAAGTATGCCTTCAAGATAGATAGCATTCACTGCTGTAAATAGCACAAATGATGTCATCAATATGACAGATTTTTTTGTTGAGGTAATAGCTTATTAGCAATAAATTGTTTGCATATACAGTGGCACAACTTTGTCAATAATAAATTTATTGCAGAGAAAAACAAACTTGGCAAGTGTTTTGACATAACATAAATGAAATTCAATATCAATTTGACCTTCAAGGTAAAGGTCATTTATGAGTGAAGGTAAAGGTCTGTCTTGTTAACTTGAAGGTCTATACTAAAAGATGGTTGTGTTCAAGTTTGAAAACAATTCAAAAATAACAAAGTTATAGCCACTAATATAAAATATCAGCAAAAATCAAGCAAAATTTAGACATTTGAAGGTCATTTATGAATGATGGTCAAGGTTTTCCTTTTCCCAAGATTTGTTGTGGCCGAGTATGAAGATTATACACCAACAACTGAAAAAGTTATGATTAAGGCTAAAGTTTGCGGACGGCACCATGAGTGTAACCATAAGAAAATAAGTCGAGCTAAAAATCATTGAAGACATACAATGCAAATGGAAGGATGATGGATGACAGACAGAAGGTGACCACAATAGCCAACTATGAGCATGTTGTGCTCAGTTGATTCCAGACCAGGGCAGCAACTCGAAACTAATGCAATGCATGTAACATCATTACAACTTTGATGTGTAATGGGTCACATCAATAGCTCTCCAACTCATAAAAGGAACATAACTGAACTATCTATATCATCCTAGTTTTGCAGAGATAATTTCAAATTAACTGCATACCATGGATGATGTAGATCAGGGACAAATGAAGGCCTTACTGAATCTTGTTATGAACTCCTTGTGACTCTTTTAAAGAAGAGCACTCAAAGCAAACTTACTGTCAATAGCTTTGGGACCACAAAATTTGATTCTACTGCAACAAAATAGCTGAATCTGGGGTCCATATAAAGTGCGAAGAAGATATATCAATACAAGAATCACTACTGCAAATACAGGGACTCCAAATGTAAAACCTAGTCCAAGTGGTGACAGTGGTTTGTCTGAAAAAAAAAAGAAAATTTGTAATTAGCATTTATCTGTCATATATATTTATAAATCAACATTTTGAACACCCCCTCCTCACCAAATGAACATAATAAACAAGCTTTAAAACAGCAAGTAGTAAACTTAGTTTAAACCTCAAAACCTGTTCATTAAAGATGGAAAATTTCTTTACTCTGCAATATAAATAGAATCATTATAAATTGTCTTTTCAAGGGTTGAAGTCAATACATTTGAAAATAATGAGATAGAATGTGACTCTGTAACATTGCTCTAATAAATGAATTATTACCATACTACTGCATTTTTGCCATATAAACCAGTAGTGTCCCTCTTTTATGATCTTTACACTGACCATTAGACATATACTGTGACCTTTATTAAGGAGCAGACAGACAGATATCTTTATTCACTCAAGCACATTTGTACATACAATATGAGGATTTTCTAATATAATGAGTATAATACATTTGTTTTCCAGCAGTAAACATACATAATTTTGCACAATAGATTTTTTTTTTAAGTAAACAATATGGTGAATTATTACAGTGTGTTTTCTTGGGGGGAATTCGGATATTCTTAATTCTAAATAATTTAACAGTTGATCTTGATAAGAAAAACAAGAAATAAAACTAGAACTGTGTCCAAAGGACACGGATGCCCCCACTGTGCAGATGTGCTCTTAAACAAGAGCATGCATATCTGTATGTAAGATTTTTATGTGGAACTTTTTTTTAAAATCTGCCATCCGGTTTTAGAGAAGTTGCGTTCACAAAATTTCTACATAGTATATAGTGAAAAAATCAACAAAGGGCCATAATTCTGTTAAATTTGGTCGCAGCGAGAATTCCTTCCTTTACTATCATCTACACATTCAGGTTGTTCATCCCTGGAAGTTTAAGCAAAATCTGCTATCCGGTTTAAGAGGAGTTGCGTTCACAAGATTTCGGGACGTACGTATGGACGGACGGACAGATAGATGGACAAGTGCAACGCTATATGCTCCCACTTTGTGGAGGAATAAACAAGAGCTGTCCGTAAGACAGCGCGCTCGACTTTTTTATTGCTTGCCAATAAAAAAAGTTTTTGCAGTAAAAGGCAATACAAGAATCTCTGTATTTTTAAAGTGAACAATGGCCATGAGCATTAAGATATTTAGTGAAGAATTATTTTACTGAATTGTGTGATACCCTTGAACACTGCAGCAAAGTTTGAAATGTTTAAGTCAAAAGAGGGCTGGTAAGAAAGAAAAAAAAACTGAGTTGAGCCTTAAATAAATTTAATAGTATTAAACCCACTTTGAGAGAATAAGGTATGTGAAATATGCATATACTACTGATTTTAATTTCAAGTACAAAAAGAGAAAAAATAACTAGTTGTTTGATACCCTTGAATATTACAGCAATGTTTATATGACATAATTTATGGTAAAGTGAACAAGTGGATAGGAATGAATTTTTTAGATTTTTTAAGTTTTTAGTGCTTGCCTATAATACAAAACATTGACAGTTAAGGGCCATAATTCAAATAAAATCTTTGACAGAATTACCTTCTCCTGGACATGTTTGGGAATCATGATTGTAAACAAGTATTCCAACTTTCAAATTAATATCTCAAACAGTTCAGTCAAAAAGTGGACTGGTACTAAAAACTTAACCAAGATTCTAAGTCGATAAAAGGCCTTAATTTTTAAAACAAATCCTTGACAGAGTTACCTTCTCTTGCGTACAGATGGGGTAATGATGTGAAATAGCATTAAAAGTTTCAAAGCAATATCTCAAAGGGTTAAGGCAATAAGTGGATTTTACCCATATTCAATGTATTTTCTAAGTCAAAAAGGGCATAATTCTGTCAAAAACCTTGACAGAGTTATGTCCTCTTGTCTGTTGATGAAGGTCGTGATGGTAAACAAGTATGGTCAGTTTCAAAGCAATACCTCCAATGGTTTTGAAATAAAGTGAGGTGGTACAAAAAACTTAACCAAGCTCAATACACTTTCTAAGTCAAAAAAAGGGCCATAATTCTGTCAAAAACCTTGACAGAGTTATGTACTCTTGTCTGTAGATGGAGGTTATGATGGTGAACAAGTATGGTAAGTTTCAAAGCCATACTTGTAATACTTCTGAAATAAAGTGGGGTGGTACGAAAAACTTAACCAAGGTGTGACGCCAACGCCGACGCCGACGCCGACGCCGGGGCGAGTAGGATTAGCTCCCCTTTTCATAGAAAAGTCGAGCTAAAAACCCATACATATATAAAAGAATGTACTAAGAAATTCAATAAAATTATAAATACCCTGTTTTCTAAAACTTTACGTTCAAATATAATTTTGAGATTTTCCCTTGATTAGTATATCTGTAACAATCATGTCACGCTTCATCAATATAGATCATGGCCTAGGATAAAAATATGTGTGTACTTATAATTATTGTTATTTTTTTTTTTTAAATATATTTTTAAAGAGTTTTGAAACGATAAGATTGTAATTTAATTACGCTGTTTTGAGTAAAATTCAAGAAGGTAGCGTTATAACAGATAATTTATAATTTGCAGAAGACATAAATAGATATGCCCACATGTAGATATTATGCTGAATATGCGAAAGTTCTCATCCTGTAAATAACAATACACTTTAAGAGTATATATAATTATATGTATTCAAGTATTGCAGAAGTATCTTTTGGAGTATTTTGATATGACAAAAAAAAGGTAAGTCTGTAAAACTGTTATCATAAATATGTTGGATGATACAGTATATAATTAGAATTTTGCCAAGACTATACGGATAAATTTACAAAGATTCAACAGTTTGGGCACATTTGTTGTATTTATTAAGCTTTCAAAACTGTTTTCGTTATCAACTAAGTGAAAGTTATTAAGATACATGCTGCGTTGATTGTTAAAATAGTTACAGTTAAAGATGTAATGTCTTTCTGTGCCTGGGGAGCCACTTGTACACAGAGGACAGGTTCTATCTAAGAAAGCGGTACCATCATAGCGCCCGGTCTCTGATGGGAGTCTTGTATTACATGTTCTAAACTTGAAAAAGGGTAATGTAGTCATTGCGTGGGATTAAATTTAGATAGTTTTCATAGGTTAGGGAATTCTTAAAGCTATTGTATATACGTCCTTTATTTGATGATTGCATTAATTTTGATCATGCCATATTTGTTTACATTGATCAATTAAAGTGAGTTTAATGCAATATGGAATACTTTTATTTACCGCTGTATTTTGATTAATCCATAAGTCAGTCCTGCCAACAGAGTTTAAAATGTCTTTAATTTTATTTATGCACTTATAATTTTGGTCTGAATGATTTAACATAAATTGGTACAGGATATATGAAAGTTTACTTTGCTTTCCAAGTAAAAGTCTAACCCAGAAAGACATCATCCTAGTCTTAACTATGATTTTGACAGGGTATCTGCCTAATTCACCAAGAAGCATATATTTTGGAGTGCTTTTCCTAGCACAGGTTATTCTTCTAAGAAATGTATTATGAATTTTTTCAAGAAGTTTTAAGTTCTCAAAGCCAAATATTTCAGATCCGTAGGTTAAGATAGGCATTACAGTATGATAAAAAAAGTTTAAGTGTAAGATCGATTGGTAAGTCTGCATTATTGCATTGTGAATACAGCAGATTAAGGGCTTTATTTGCTTGTTGGGTGACATGTTTCCTTGCATTTAGAAAAGAGCCGTTACTGGTAAATGCTACTCCAAGATAATGATAACATTCTTCAATAGCTATGGTCTGGATACTTAGAGTAAAATTATATCTATTTTTTGCATTTCTTCTTCCAAAAACAACTATTTTTGTTTTCTCAGCATTAACTTTTAATTTCCATTCATTACAATATGAATTAAATGAGGATAAGCATTTTTGAAAGTCGTCAGCTGATTCTGACATTATAATTGTATCGTCTACGTATAATAAGAGTAATAGTTTAAGCCATGTTTCATTAGTTATAGTATCATTTAGATTTACTCCTAAAGCTCCATTTGAAATAAGATAAGATTCAAGGTCGTTTAGATAAATGGAAAAAAGTATTGGGCTCAAATTTCCCCCCTGGCGGACACCTATTTCTGAAGTTAACAAGATTGCATTTTAGAAAATGCTATGCCACCGCATTAATACAACACTAAATAGAAGTGTAGGAACAAATACTGTTGAAGAACGGGTCTTTTATTAACCTCGTATATTATTGTCTAGATGAGCCGTTACCAATGCAAAACTAACGTATTACTATAAACTGCTAGCATTCCCTTGCAGAAAGATAAGCAGACGACAGCCTAATTTCATGACTACATCAAAGGACAACACAGAAAGACACTTTTGTCAAAATCTAGGTCAGCTGATATCAAAGTTCACTTTACATCTTAATCTGTGCACATGGTTCAAATTTCATAGCTGTACATCAAAGGACAAGAAAGTAGGTCACATAATCAAAATCTAGGTCACTTGATATAAAAGTTCAATTTTACAACTAAAACTGTGCACATGGTCAAAATTTCATTGCTGTTCATCAAAGGACAAGAAAGTAGGTCACTGTCCCCTTGGGCCAGGCAAAATTTTGAGCTAAGGGTTTAATTCAAAACAATCTTGATACAGGTCCACCAAACAACAGTTCAAGTCAAATATCTAAGCTGTAGCTTTCTCCCATTCAGAAAAACATTTGTTTTATTTTCTGTTTTAATATTATGTGTACTTAATGAAAATCACTGCCCCCAGGCAGGGCCAATTTTGACACCAGGGCAAAATTTGAACAACTTTGGTAGAGGACCTACAGATGATATTATATAGCAAACATCAAAGCTCTATGCCTTGTACCTTTAGACAAAAATAGTTTTTTTTTTGTTTTTTTTTACTATATGTACATAATGAAAATCAATGAACCCGGGGCGGACCCAATTTTGACCCCAGTTCTATAATTTGAACAATCTTAGTAGAGGTTCACTTCCAAAAGTCTCATGCCATAAATTTAACCTCTAGCCTTTG